GAAGTTTTATTTTTTTTGTAAACCACTCAGTATGTTATTTTGTTATAGCTGCCTCAAACACACTTAAGACACTTTCCTTTGATTATTTTTCTAAAGCTTTCTACAGCCAGTGCTACTGATAAAATCCAGAAAGCAATATTAATTATTTCCTATGTTTATCTTTCAGTTCAAACGAAAGTATTGAAGAACCCTTGTAACCTCAATTGAAAGATCATTAGAGGGAGCCAGCCCCTAGATTTGGACGAATGTTCTTTATATATCCCCTTTCACATTTCACAATCATGATTTAGAATGAAAATTGACATTTCAGTCACTAAAACTGGTAGTTTTGGGCTGAGGGTGTAGCTCAGTGGTAGAGCACATGCCTAGCATGTTTAAGGCCCTGGATCCAATCCCTAGGACTGGCAAACACAAAGAAAAAAAGACTGATAGCTCGTCTGTATGATCTGGCCTCTCTTGAGCCAAGTTAAATCAGCTGTTGGAGAAGCAGTGAAAGGGACAGGGGACCAAGAGATGGAGGAAGAGGGGAGAACAGGTAAAAAAATTATGTGTTACATGCATGCATCGACTACCTACAAGGAGTGGAATCATTATGTACTGCAAACCTGTACTAATAAAATGAAAAATGTTGAATTGAGTTCCAAAGTACATTTCAACGTCATGTGCTTTTTGTGGTCTTCTTTTGTGGTACTGGGTGTTGAACCCAGAGCTATTACACTGAGCTTTAGCTTCCCCCACCTTTTTATGTTTATTTTGAGACAGGGTCTTGCTAAGTTGCCCAGGCGGAATTTGAACTGAGGATCCTCCTGCCTCAGCTTCCAAAATGCTGGGATTACAGGTGTGGGCTACCATGCCAAGCAGGTATATGCTTTTGAAGAAAAAATATCAGTATACAAGTTAAGTAGTGTTACATGTAAGTGCTCTTGTTGCATATGATCGGTGATGATTGAATGGCAGTGCTCTTGAAAAAGCCTCTATACTCACCACTGTTATTATATGTACTGTAGCACTACATTAAGAGCAGCCTGAAAAAAAAAAAAAAGCCTGAGTTGTTTTTTTTTTCCTGAGACAGGGTCTCACCATGCAGTCAGGCTGGCCTCGAACTTCAGCAGTCCTCCTGCCTCAGCCTCTCCTGGTGCTAGAATTGGCAGGTGTGCATTACCATTCCCAGGCAAGCCTGAGATAATTATCAGAAAATACCAGTCCTACTGTTTTCATTGTATTAATACTGTATTCCAGTGATCTACTTGTCCATCTCAGTAGAATGTACTTCCAAAAGTTAGGGACCATGTCTGTCATGCATCCCTAGTACCTTGGATTTAACAAGTATTTGTTGAATTGACTAAGTGCTGTAACTTGTTGATGAATCACACACCTAGTAAGCAGCAGACTTGGGATTTAAATCTATATCTTTATTCCAGAGCCTTCCCTGTCCAGTTCAGTACTATAAAGAAAAGTAAAATATAGTACATATGTGGTGTTTTGATTTCTTTTGACTTGGCCCACTTGGGTCAAGCAACACTGCTTTTTATTACCTCCACTACTGCTAAAGGGACTGACAGAGGGTGTTGTAGATCATGATGTAAACTATTAAAAAGTAATTTAAGTAGGTATGTGGCCTCAGCAGCATTCTATTTAAGTTCCCTTTTACTCCCTCTTCATGATCTGAAGTAATAGTAGTTCCCTTGCCAAGTCTTCCCCACTGTGTCATTCCCTCCACCCCCCATATCAGGGATCATGTTTTAAATTGTAAAGCCAGGTGTGGTTGCTCAACACCTGTAGTCCCAGGTGGAGGGAAACAGATGAGAGGATCACTTTTTTTGTTGTCTTTTTGAGAAAGGGTCTTGCTTTGTAGTTCAGGTGTAGCTCAAACTCAACAGCAATCCTGCCTCAGCCTCCCAAATGCTGGGATTACAGGTGTATGCCACCATGCCTAGTGAGAGGATCACTGACCGACCCATGAGTTTGAGAGTAGTAGCAAGACCCTGTCTCAAAAAGATAAATGTGCCTGTCGTGGCGCACACTTGTAATCCCACCACTCAGGAAGCTGAGATAGGATTGCAGAGAGTTGGAGGCTAGCCTGAATTACAGAGCAAGACCCTGTCTCAATTTTTTTAAAAGTTAGAAAACCTGGTATAGCTTATACATCTGTACAAGTTTTACATAGTAATGGATTCTAGAGAAGGCTAGCTAAGTCCTCTATTTCCAAAATATCAGTGTGGTCCTTGCTCCTTTCCCCAGTGTAATGTAATGGTAACATAAAGTGTCTTTAGACTGGAGCAAACTTTTCTGAACCTAGAGGATCTCAAAATTAAACATGATAAGGAAACCCTGAAATTTGGACGTTAGACTTTGCTACCTCTTAAAGTCCACCGCCAGGTTCTAACCCTAGATTCTAGCACTTTCTCTAAATTTTTGGCTGTGAAGTTAGTGCACAAACCATAAATCTACCTTCATTTCTGATGCCAATTACAAGTTCAAGGGTCCCTAAGAGTATTCTTATGTTCAGTTTAGTAAACTCACAAGAATTCACTGAAAGCTATTACATACACATGATTTATCACAGTGCAAAGATACAGATTAAAAGAAGCCAAGGGAAGTCTCATAGGGCAGGGTCTAAGAAGTTCACAATTCGGAGCTTCTAGTTATACTCTCCCTGTGAAGTGGTCTGGCAACGATGTGCACAGATACCCTAGCCTGCCAGGAAATCCTACTTTTCCAACCAGGTAAGTAGGTGAGGCTTTGTATCCAGAATTTTTTTTTTTTTTTTTTTTTTGGTACCAGGGATCAAACTCGGTCCTTGCGCTTGCAAGGCAGCCGCCGGAACCACTGAGCTAAATCCCCAGCCCTGTAATGCAGAATTTTATTGGAGCTCATCAGGTAGACAGATTGACTACCCATATGGTTAATCTCAGTCTTCAGTTCTTGGGAAGTGGAGGAGATACCATGGACTGGTGGACTGACAGGACTCAAGCCCCAGGCAAATAAAAACTATCAAGCCTGACATTCCAAGTGTTTAGTGAGAAACTCCAAGGAACCTAGGGCAAAGGTCATTTTTGCACAAGGTTATATTTTTAAATTTGCCCTTCTACTGTGTAGAAGGGGCTGCTTCTCAATTTTTGACATTCTATATTTCGCCTTCAGTTTCCCCCTTCTGCCTGCCAGAAAATCTTACCTTCCTTGAGGGAAGTACACCTGAGCTTCGGTGTCCAGAGTTTTTATTGGAGTTTAGTATATAGGCATAATCAACAGACCATATAATGGGCTGGGTGCAGTGGTGCACACCTGTAATCCTAGCCACCTGGGAGGCTGAGGTGGGAGGACTGCAAGGTCCTGCTCAGCCCTGGCAGCTTAGCCAGACGAGAGGTCATCTCATCTAAAAAGTGCTGGGTGATGTAGCTCAGTGCAGAGGCCCTGGTCTCAATCCTCAGTACTGAAAACAAACCATATGACAGGTTATGACTGGTCTTAGATTCTAGTTCATCAGTAGGATGGAAGGGGTTTTCCCATTTTATATATTTTGTTTGATTTCTCTCCTTGTGTTCACCCAGAAACGTTGCACCTCTCATCACTGCTGGCAAGGCAGCACCTGGAGGAAGACTCTTGTTTCCTCAAGGAGCCTTCATTGCATGCAGAAAGGACGTCACTTTCCTCAACTTTCCATTGCTTAATAAAGTGTCCTGTCAGAATCTGCTAATTCTGGTCCCCCTCCGTTCTGGCTTCTAAGCACTGAAAAAGCCAATCTCTTCTAAGTGGGGTTGCATGTGACTGACATACCAGAAATCTGTAACACATAAAAGGAATTTGTACCCAGGCATGGTGTCACACTCCTGGAATTCCAGCACTCCGGAGGCTGAGGCAGGAGGATTGCCATAAGTTCGAGGCTAGCCTTGGCTATGTAGTGAGTTTAAAACCACCCTGAACTATGTACTGAGACCCTGTCTCTAAACAAATTTTAAAAAGGGTTGTAAGTAAATTACTGCTTGTTCCATCTCTTCCTCAATGGTGTATGAAGAATACGGCAATTCTAGACATCATGAGTGCAAAAACTTTAAAAATTAAAGGTGGTCCACAAAATGAGTCCAAGGGTCCCAATACTCATTTGAGTATTCTCAAGGCTGGGGATTTAGCTCAGTGGTGCTACTGCCTGCCTTGAAAGCGCAAGGTCCTGAGTTTGATCCCCAGTACCAAAATAAATAAATAAATAAAAATTGACTATTCTCATGTTGTTTGCAGGTGGGGGGATCTTAGCCTACCCATAAGAAACAAGAGTAGAAGCTGGGTCCCTTTAACATGTGGGAAGCCCCTACCACAAGGAGACAGTGATAAACCTTTTTTGCCAACAGCCAAACAAAGCTGTCTTTGGAAAGACTCTGCTGGGTTCAAACCTTAACTTCATTTATTAATCCTGTATGCTGAGAAATGGGATAAGTAGAGGTTCCAACATCACAGAATCTGCAAGACAGTCACTCCACTTGCGGTGGGACTCTCCAACACAGTTACAGCCGAGATCCAGGAGGAATGTAGCTCAGGACGAAGTGTGGGCTGCTGCCACGCACCTTCCACGCAGCGCAAGCGCAGCCTGGCTGCCGGGGCTTCCTTCCAAGCTCGCGTGCTGATCTGCGCGGGAGAGCGGGTCTCGCGATGTGTGCGTGCGTGTGCGCGGTTCTCGCGAGCTCGCGCACGCCGCCTCGAACTACGGGGCTGTGGCGGCGTCTTTCTCCGGGGTGTGCGGCCCGGCAGTGCGAGGTGGTAGTTGCTGGAGCGTGGCTCCGGCGTCTGACTCGTCGCCGCCGCCCTCACTGCCTGGCCTCTGCTTTGGACTCCTCTTCGGCCCGCGCAGAGGCGGCGGCTCCAGCGTAAGGCTCCCAGCCGATGGGCAGCACCTAGACGCGCTGAGGGGCCGGGCTAGGAGCGGCCGAGGTAGGTGGGCGCGCGGATCCGCGGCTGGGGGAGCGGCGCTGGGCTGCGGCGCCCGGGGAGGGGTTGTGGCCTGGCCGGCAGCTAACGAGCGAAGGGCGCGGACAGCCTGATTTCCCGAGTGTGGAGCCATCCGCGAGGAAATTCGTCCGGTGGCCAGGCGGGAGGACTCACCCTTTCTTTTCTTTGAGAGGTTAAAATCTGCAGTCTTCTCTCCGCCCTTTAAATGAGAGCCTGCCGGAGAGTGGCTCCTAGACAGAGTGGCCTGCGGACTTCGACGCTTGCAGAACTCCGAGTGGAGGGACAGCGGGTTATGAATTTTGATGTTGGGAGGGTACAGCCCTTCTCTAGAGTGGGCTCGTATCCGTAGCAAACTTGTCACTATTAATACGTATATTAATAGTCGCTTTCAGACCCACAACAGGCAGTACATTTTTGAACGCCTCACTTCGTGAGGATTCTGACACCAGGGAAACTGCGCCTTGGGGCACAATTAAGGAGTATAAAGAAGACAAAGGAGGCTGTTATTTATGTTCTGTCCTGGTATGAAACTTTCCGTGGTGAGGCGGAGAGTATAGCAGCTGGCCTAGACTAGATGGTTCTTCAGAGTCATTTAAGCTGAGTCGAGAGCACTTTCTTTAGAATTACAAAATCCTATATGGTTATGTATAATTGTAAGTTAAATGACCTGTAAATCTCTGAGAATTATGTGATGTTTGATTTTTAGAGGAGAGCAGAACTTGGGTTTCTTGAAAAGGTTTTCTATATGTTTAGAAAGCTTCATGAATATCTGTTACTAAAAATAGTTTTTTTCTATCGGAAATAACTGTCACAGTCAAGATGAGGGAAAATAATTGATTTAAGGAGTTAAATAAACAGTAAAACAATTTCAGAAACAGCAAGTTAGCATTTAAAAATTACAGTTTAGTCACAGTCCAAATGTATAAAATCTCTTAGTTGACTCGCTTATTTTTAGTGAACCATTTTAAATGATAATAATCTTCCACCCTTGGTAGTCAACACAGTCAGTCTGTTCTGTAACCTTTTTTTTGAGGCAGAGTCTCACTGTAGTTCAGACTGGAGTTGAACTCACTGTGTAACCCAGAAAGGCCTCAGCCTCCAGCCACCCAAGTGCTGGGATTTCAGGCGTGGACCTGGCTCATTGTTTCTTAAGAAATGTGGCCTGTGTACCTTCAGTGAAATTTATATGGAAAGAGTCTCTCTGGAATAATTAGCTAGCAAGCCCTTATGGGTTAATGCTTATATATTATGCAAATGTTGCAAATAAACATCTGTATCTTCCATATAAGTCATATAAATATAGTGGTTATGCATACAAGAGTCTAATGGTTGTATAATAAGATTGAAATCTGAAAGTGGGAAAGGATTGCTTTTAGCTATTTCCTTTTGTTAACTTTTTTTTGTTTTTTGTTCTTTTGGTACCGGGGATCAAACTCGGGACCTTTCACTTGCAAGGCAGGCGGTGGAACCACTGAGCTAAATCCCCAGCCCTGCTAACTTTTTTTTTTTTTTTTTTTTTTTTTTGGCATGGTGCTGGAGATTGAACCCAGGACCTCAGGCATTTGAGGCAAGTACTGGACACTGACCTACACCTCCAGCCTTTTTTGTTAGCTATTTACATGACTAATTGCCATAGTAAATTTCTTGTCAGTAGCAGGGGAGGGGAATCTAGAACAGATAAAAAATGCATATTTTGTAGTGTTTTTTATATTAGTGTTTTATTATCTTTCTATTGGAATAAACAGCTTTACTCGTCCATTTTGTGTCCTACTGCTTAGAATAGTGTTTTGGTTTGTTTTTGGTTTTGTTTTTGGAGACAGGGTCTCTAGCCCAAGCTGGCCTCACACTCATGGTGAGCTACATGCCTCAGCCCCCCAAGTTCTGGGATTATAGGCATGTACCACTGTGCCTGGCTTAGAATAGTGTTTTGCATGGAGCTGGTCCAATAAATGTGAACTATGTAAGAAATAAACATAGCTGGGTATGGTGGTACATGCCTGTAATTTTAGCAATCAGGAGGCTGAGATCAGAGAATGGTAACTTTGAGGCCAGCCTGAGCTATATAACAAGTTTGAGGGCTAGCCTAAGCTACAAGATGAGATTGTCTCAAATTTCAAACACACACACACACCCACAACTAACATAATACAAATCAAAGGCATAAATACCTGGAGAAGATTAAAGGGATTGGAGATGGGGTGCTTTTTTTTTTTTTATTTTAATCACAGGTCTAATTTTTAGTGGTGTGTTTTTTTCTGTGTGGGTTGGTGTCTGAGTAAAGGATATGTGACGGCATTTTGCCTCTAAAAGTCTTACCTAATGTAAGCTGAGTCTGTTTGTCTGAAGTGCTGACAGATTGTGAATGTTCTATGTTAAGAAAAAATGAAGTAAAGGAAGTAAGGTCCAGAGGGAAGGTTTTGGTAAGTTTAGTGATAGGGATTGAAAAGACATGAATTATAAAACGTTGAAACAGGTTATAGAGAGAAGTATTTTTTCCTTTAACTGGCAGTGGGAGAAAGAACTTGTACCTTCCTCTTTTTGTGAGAATATTCCAGCTGGATGATGTCTGAGTAATATTGAGCTGGGCCTGGTGACACACGCCTGTCTGTAATCTGAGTACTCAGGAGGCTGAGGCAGGAGGATTGCCATGAGTTCAAGGTCATCCTGAACTACATAGTGAGATGCTATCTCAAAAAAAAAAACCCAGCTGAATAATACTGAAAATGATTTACTTTTCCTCTAATAGCCTTCTCCAAGGTTTGTATGTTTCTCTTTGTATTTGTGTACGGTCTCTGCTCCAGCTTTATTGGCAGTAAACTGTTATTTTGATTCCTATTTAATTCTTCTATATATTTCTCAATTAATGTATAACTTGAAAGAGAGAAGAATGTGGTTGGTCCAATCACAAGCCCCAACATTGGCTTTTCCTGTTTGACTTTACATATGTTGCCATAGGAAGGTTTTGTGGGTATTTGTAGAAGTTGAGAGTGAAGAAATATATAAAAATTTAAGCAAGATTTTTTTTTTTTAAGGAGACATGAGAAGGATTTATTAGAGGTGGATATAGGATGTACTCAAGAGTGGAGTGTGGGTACTCAGAGAAATGAGGCAACTAAACAGGAATATTTTTAAGTTGAATCTTAATGCTTTCATTTTAGTAGAGTGGAGTGGTAGGGGTTAATTTTGTCTCCCAGGTAACATTTGACAATATCTGGAGAAATTTTTGGTCAAACATTCAGGGAGAGGGAGAGAAGATATCATTGCTATGTTATCTAGTTGGTAGAGGCCAGTGATAATGCTATTTGGCTTTACTGTTTCCTAATGTGTTCCTAGAAGGTCGGATAAAGTCTGCCTGTTTCTATAAAATAGAGGTAATAATATTAGGTTTTCAGAGGCAGGGATTGAAGATTAAATCAGATAACGTGCAAAGTGCCAAGTGACACACCCTTGTAATCTCAGCTGCTTAGGAGGTGAAGCAGGAAGATTGGAAGATCAAACCCAGCCTAGCTAGGTGACTCTCAAAATAAAAAAAGGACTGAGGATATGGAGATGTAGCTTAGTGTAAAGGACTTGGGTTCAATCTAGTACTGCCAAATAACAAAGACAACAAACCTAGTTGTCACAGTGTCCTTAGAAAGTGAGAGAAAATTATTCCATTTAATATTTATTTTAGCCCAGTCTTGTTTTATATCCTCAAGTCTGTAAGGCTCTTACCATAAACAAGTAGCTACTCACTGTAGATATTTTTCTTTCATAGTTAAGAATTTAAGGGGCCAGGGATTTAGCTCACGGGTTTCACTGCCTGCTGCGCAAGCGCAAGGACCTGAGTTCGATCCCTGGTACCAAAAAGAAAAAAAAGAATTTAAGCCAGCTGGCCAAGAGCTCTGTATCTGTTGATTCTCAGTAAATATTTAGAAGTTAAACAGTATTTAACTTTGTGACTTGATTCTCATTTTCTTCTTTTTTTTTTTTATAAATTGAAACAAATTTACAGTGGTCTTGGTTCACATTAGTTACCTGTTTGTGACTTTTGGGAGTAACTATTTTGTTACAAAAGTCTTCATGCAGTTTTATATATATGAAGGGTACAGGCAAACATCTAATGATTTGGGACTAGACCTTCATATACATTTTTTTGCTGTGCTGGCAATCAAACCCAGTGCTTCTTTCTTGTATACCAGGCAAGCAAGCACTGGAGCTACATCTCTAGCCCCTTAATATATTTTTTTTATATATAGAAAAAAAAATAGAAGCATATCCTCACAGACAAAATGGACTTTAGACTGTTCATTTAGGGCTCCTCTAGCCAAAGAACATCCACATATTTGTGATCAAGGGAGAAAGCCATGTTGTACCTTTAATTTTTTTTTTTTTAAACAATGCTACAATGTGCTTTTGGTTTTTTTTGGTACCAGGGATCGAACTTGGGACTGTGTGCTTGTGAGGCAAGCAGCGGACCCACTGAGCTAAATCCCCGGCCTTTTAATGTTTTAAGAGAATTCTTTTTGTTTTTTCAGTACCAGAGATTGAACTCAGGACCTTGTGCTTTCGAGGCAGGCACGGTACCACTGAGCTAAATCCCTGGCCCAGCCCTGGGCCAGCGTTTTGTCTTTAAAATAGGAAGGAGGGCCAGGGATTTAGCTCAGTGGTTCCAGCGCCTGCCTTGCAAGCGCTAGTTCCTGACTTCGCTCTCCAGTACCAAAAAAACAAAACAGGAAGTGTTTTACTATTATCGATACCCTTTTTTTTTTTTTTTAAGTAGATTTTGTGTCAGTAGTGTGTATTTCCTTTTACTTATTTTTTATTTTGTGGGGGATTGAATTCGGGTCCTTGCGCTTGCACAGCAGGAGATGAAACCACTGAGCTAAATCTCTGGCCTTAATACCCATATTTTTATAGTATAAATCCGAACTGTTTACATATAGCTCATTTTAGCTAATGGTAACTTTTGTTTACCCTTAGTGCTGGTATTGTTTTATGTTTAAATATAGGAAGTTTGAAGGGAGTCAGTTCCTTGGGCCAAGAGATGAGGTCTTTGGCACAGTGCATCTTTTATAAAGTGAAACATACCCTCAGTTCTCTTTAATAAATTACAATAATGATGGAGTATCTGTCTTGTGGAAACTGTGGTCAAATTAGAAGTATACATATGAGAACTATAATAAAAGGCTAAAGGGGGGCATTCTAAGAAAGTTATAATGGCAAACTGAAAAAATGTTAGTAAGAATTTTTGTCTTTTTACTGTTATCTTTTTGGAGTTTGATAATCTCAAATTGAGGATGCCCGGCATGGTGGCACACACTCGTAACCTCAGCACTTGGGGGAGGTTGAAGTAAGAGGATTGCCATGAGTTAGAAGACAGCCTGGGCTACATAGTGAATTAAAGGCCAGCATGAGCACAAGACCCTGTCTTAAAAACAAAACAAAAACAACCGTAGAAATCTCAAATTGAAAATCCTACAAAATGTAACATTTGTTTTCTACTTGTAGAATATTATGGCCACTAAATTAGTGTTATAATTGAGTTAGCTTGATGCTTGTTCCTATTCATGATTAAATTGAGAAAAACAAGGATTCTTGAGTCAGCTGATATGTGTTTATAAGTGGTCTGGCATCCTGTCAGCCTAATTTTAGGTAGTATACATAGTTGTTGGAAGATAGTTTTCCCACTGAGTGCTGTCATCCAGATAGATATATATTTGTATATACTCATGATTAAATTGAGAAAAACAATGATCCTTGAGTCAGCTGATATGTGTTTATAAGTGGTCTGGCACCCTGTCAGCCTAATTTTAGGTAGTATACAGTTGCTGGAAGATAGTTTTCCCACTAAGTGCTGTCATACAGATAGATACATATTTGTGTGTGTGTATTTATGCATATTTGTATTTTATTTTTGGTAGAAAATGATGCATCCTGTTGCCAGCAGTAATCCGGCATTCTGTGGCCCTGGCAAGCCTTCGTGTCTGAATGAAGACGCCATGAGAGCCTCTGACCAGTTTGACCTATATTCCTCCCAGCAGAGCAAATACAGCCACTCAGTCAGCCACAAACCAATGGTTTGTCAGAGGCAAGACCCATTAAATGAAACACATTTGCAGACGACAAGTGGCAGAAGCATAGAGATAAAAGATGAACTAAAGAAAAAGAAAAATCTCAACCGATCTGGTAAGCGTGGCCGGCCCTCGGGAACCACCAAATCAGCAGGATACCGGACCAGCACAGGCAGACCCCTGGGAACTACCAAAGCGGCTGGATTTAAGACAAGTCCAGGCAGACCCTTGGGTACAACTAAAGCTGCGGGATACAAAGTCAGCCCAGGGAGACCTCCAGGTAGCATTAAAGCTCTATCCCGTCTTGCCGATCTTGGTTATGGCTGTGGCACTGCTGCTTTTCCTTACCCTATGATGCATGGCAGAGCAGTTCATGGGGTAGAGGAAACCAGCAGTGAAGTCAAGCCACCCAATGAGTGAGTGAGGCAGGAAAAGAAGGCCAGGTTTAGAAGGAGATTGTGAATAATCCCAAAGCTTCTTGGTTTGATTTTGACAGACATAATTTTATAGCCTGGGCTTTCCAAATTTGTTTTTCTGTTTGAGTTTTCCCCCCTGCTTTTGCTCAGAAGCTGCCATATGCTTTCAGATGCACTCAGGGCATGAGCAGTGGCATTGTATTTGTATATAGGTTCAAGTGTAATACCTAACTAAATCATTTTTGCTTTTCCTTATGATTGTATCTTATGTTTCATTACTACTTTTGGGTCATTCTTAATAGATGCTTTATGTGCTAAACAATTGAAACCATTATACATATTAGTTTGTGAGGTAAGCCTACAATATAAAGATACTCTTGAAGGTATTTTTAACTGATGGAGCAAACTAGTGATTCAGGATTACTTGAGCTAATGGCTGGGTGAGTTTTCACATTTTCATGAGATAGGAAACGGCTGTTTGCCATTTACATAGATGTCAGCTGTTAAAAACTTACTTTTAATGTTCTGAGTATAAGCAGCTTCTTATTTATTGATCTACATGGCATTAATTGATTTAACCATTATTCTTAAAAGAATTCTTCAGGGTTTGCCTTTCAGCAGTAATAGATTATGTATTTTTAAGTTACTATGAACATATATACCAAACACTACAAACAGTTGATAATTTACAAAAAATAAACTGTCTTATAAAAACTGCACATTACATTTTTAGTGAAATACAATGCATTCTGAGAATAGCATATTTAATATAATAGAAAAACATTCTTAAGGTTTGCATGTAGCTACAGTCGATAATTTTTGCCTATCATATACTTACTGAGTTTTAAAGTATTATGTTAAAAACATTTATTAGTGTTGCTCATTTATTTGGAATGTTTTTTAATTTTTCTGAGAAATTGTCCCATTGCATTAACACTTAATTTTAGGTTTATATCTACCAAAGGACACAAATGGAGTGGTAGACTGTAAAACTGGTGTAAACAGAATGCAATTTCCTAACTCTCGGAACCCAAATACTAATGTAGGAATCCATCTATGCATGAAACATGTAAAAAGTTTTTGGTTAGTCTGATTAAAAAACTAATTGTGGCTCTAGGGGACCGCTTCATCCAAAACAAAATTTCCCCCCAATAATACTTACTTTAAATAGAAAAGAGAAAAAAGAATATTGGGCAGATACGTATATTAGGGACAGAGAAATCTTCTCTTTCTTTCTGAAAGTAATATTTCTTGTTAATGTTTTATTCTGAGTTCTAAAAAGTACTATAAACTTCAGATTTGAAAAATTTCACTGAACTTTAAAGTTACAGTGTTTGTACATGTGATATTAAATGTCTTTGAGATTAAAATGTAATTTTTCAGGACCCAAAACTTTTAAAATAATGAAAATTTTAAAAGGGCGCACATATTGTGTTGGTTGGGCTTGCTCTCAGTTAATGCAAACTCTGCAAATGGATGTCATGTTTCATACCTTTTTTATCAGGAAAAAAGCAGCAAGCCTTCAGGTGTTCCAGTGATGCCTGACACAATGAGCTGGACTTTATGCTGCTCTTTACAGTAAGAGGTGTTGCATTATATGTGGGGACTGTGTGTGCACTGGCATCTAAGACAGTGACCTCAACAATATTAGCTTTGCACAAACCATAGTGAACAATGTTGGATAACTACATAATCAGTTGTAACATTCTGGCAGCTAAAATGCTACAAGAGTTTCTTCTTGCAGAAGCTTAGACTATAAAAAACTTAATAATTTCTCAGAACAGTGTAACTTCTGACACACACAAATGCTTGCATCTTTATTCATGTGTTCATCTCTCCACTTCTTCTGTATCTGTCATTTAGCTGTTTCTCAAGATGATGTTCAGCAGTTGGCTGCTTAGGAATCCTTTCTAGTTCTTAAAGACAGTTGTTTAATTAATTGTTCTGCCATAGAATAACACACCATTGTCAAGAATTTGGTTGCATGTTTTACAGTGAGTTCATTTGGCATTGCCCTCTCGTTCATGATTTTGTTAAATATACCGTACTTCCTATTTCTCCCCTGCCCTTCCCTACATTCATTCTCTTTCCCTGTCCCCCCACCCTCCAGCACATCTACTCAGTGGTGCTGTGCTGTGTGTCAGAAGATAAAGCAGGTGTATTATTGTATAATAAATTTTGTATACATGTTTATGAAATGGTGAACTAAAGGAGATATGTTCATCAGAGTGTTTATTATCAGGTGGAAAAGGGGGGAAAATGGCTACAGTTGTGATGGGTGACATCGTTTAGAAAGCTGAATTTACTGTTCATATGAGCAGTTACCTGGAATATTAGATTTATACACTGGTGAACATCTCCTAATTCCACTTAACTTTTCTCCATGTGAACAGTTTACTGGTGCCATGCTGAAGAGAAAGACATATAAGTGATAATATGAATGAAGTCTTAAAATGCAAAATATTTTTACTTCTATATAATCTGAAGACTATATTGTGCATCTTTTGTAACACTGTCTCTTGTCATGATAAACACTGAAATAGCATGTTGAACAGTTGCTTATATACTTTACTCAGTTGGGGAAAACTGGCCTTTTCCTTGCACTGTATAATTGTTCCTTAAAAGGTAAATCGCTAATTTTATACTGTGTAATTCTGTTCTTCACAAAATAGGTTTCACTATTCTATATAAAAACTGTTGGGTCAGAAAATGATCTGCTATTCAAGTAAGTTTGGTTTCCTTTTTTTTAAAAGTATTTTAACATGCCTTATTTATTGTTACCATATTAACAAATAGGGTAATACAGGTGAAATCTTCATTTTTTGACAGATACAACCTTGCATAACTAATCTTTAGTAGGGGATACTTTTGATACTATCTTTGGAGTTTTGCACTGGGTATTAAAAATATACTGGCACAGTGTATTGCAAGAAAATAAGTAGAACCTGTATTAATTTTTAATATTTGAGGACATTTTTTAAATCAGTGTTTCAATTAGACTGAAAATTCTATTTTTTATTTACTTTTTGAAGAAACCTCTGTCAAAGTATTATTCATTCCAAACCAGTGTTTGTGTGAATTTACATATATACTTTTATGAAATAATAATAGTGTTCCTTTGACTTAAGGAGAAAAAAAATCTGGATCCATTTTTTAAGTTAAGGGTGATACATCCAATGTAAGAATAACTACTGTGTATGAGCTAAAATAAATAAATGATCTTCTTTATATTCTCAGATGCTTTAAAAAAACAGTTCAGGGGATATTAAAACTGTTACTCTGTCAGTCATTGTCTATATGCAGTTAACTTTTATGATCCTTTTATAGTAAAATACAAGAATTCACAACAGTTGTTGAAAACATTTTTTCCCCCTTGGACATAAAAATTTTGATGCCATTATGTTTTTGTTTTATTATAGCATATCTATTTGCTCTTAAACTCTAGGATGTATCTAAATCTTTTCTTTGTGTTTCCTCCATCCTCCTAAGTAGCCACATCTGTGCTCTCACATATAATGTATTTAATTTTCGGAAAATTAAATACTATAGTAAATCAAGTGTGTTATTTAAAGGAATCAGATCTTTGATTCTTTGGGTTTTCAGTTTCTTTTTCCACATACAATTATGGAGAAAATAATTACCAATTACTGATGATAAGCACGCTGTCCTCTGCTGTAAAAAGTCTGAATAGATACTGTGTATGTTTCTATGTCCATGAACTTGAGCTACTCATGTGCAATTATGTATGGGAATGGAGTAGTGTTCATGATTTGTATTTACATCATCATATGGATGTATATTTATTAATAAAGTCATTACTTTAAAACCATATATGTGTTCTACTTTTTTGTTTATTTATTTTGGTAGTGGGGATTGAACTCAGGACTTTGTGCTTATAAGGCAGGAGCAGTGCCACTGAGCAAATCCCCAGCCCTCTTTTATTTTTTAGCATAGTACTTTTCAAGTAAGAAAATGAAACCTTTTTGTGATTATAGATAGTATATTTTTCTTGGAATTTTGTATTCTAAAATCTGCTCTGTACTTTTTTATTTTTCTTAAAATAGTTATATACAGAGTCCACTAAAAAAAATGTATACACACCTCGGGAAAAGAAAAATAGTATGATGTTTTTTTCGACAGATTGTGTTACCCTCCCTTGGGAGATCCAAGAGGATGTGGTATATCACAGAAAACCCACTACACTGCTGGCCCTTAGAGAAGAAATTGAAAATGCATGTGCAGCAATCTCAATGACCAAGGTTGACCAAGGTTACCCAAGCAGCAGTTCACCATACTAATAAATGTCTGGAAGCTAAAGGCCACCCACTTTGAGCACCTCTTGTAATTGTAGAGACCAAAGCTGGGCATGGTGGCACACGCCTGTAATCGTAGCACTCAGGAAGCTGAGGCAGGAGGATTGCTGCTAGGCCAGCCTGGGCTACATAGTGAGTTCAAGACCAACTTGAACTACATAGTGAGATCCTGTCTCAAAAAAACAAAAACAAGGGCCAGGGATTTAGCTCAGTGGTTCCGCCGTCTGCCTCGAAAGTGCAAGGACTCAAGTTCGATCCCCAGTACCAAAAAAAACCAAGGGGCTGGGGATTTAGCTCTGTTTTTGCCACCTTCTGTGCAAGTGCAAGGACCCGAGTTCGATCCCCAGTACCAAAAACAAAACCCCCAACACAAAAAACAAATTATAGAAGCCAGAGGTAATTTGATTAACCTCATGATGTCTTGATAAATTTAGTGTTAAAATATACCTGTAATCCCAGCATTAGGGAAGGCGAGGCAGGAGGATAACCATGAGTTCAAGGCCAGCCTGCACTACATAGTGAGACCCTGTCTCAGAAACCAAAAAGTGAAAACCAAAATATTTATACAAGTCTATATTTTATAGGTTGAGATATTTAAAAAATATTTTCCCTTAATCCTCATTTTGTCTGAAGCCTGCACATCACCTACAACAAAAGGCCCACTGCCTTTTGTAAATAGTTTCACTGGAATATAGATGTTTAATATTTGTTTACAGATTGTCTGACTGCTTTTGCATTACACTGGTAGATAGTTGTAACATAAATAGTTGTAACATAGTTCTAACATAAGGCCTGCCTACAAAGCCTAAAATATTTACTATCCTTTCCTGTACAGAAAAAGTTTACTGACAGTTCATGTAGAAGGATAAAATGGAGTATTCAGGCTTGACTTGAACTTACTATGTAGTCCAGGCTGGCCTCATCTCCTTAAAAAAACCTTTAAAACATTGATGGCTCTTTTTTGATCTTTTGAATATAATAAATATTCTTCACATTCAACTTTTAAATGATGCTAAGTGTATTACTCCAGTTGTTGAAGCCTGTGCACTTTACATGAACATTTGCTATTAATTAGGTGTACTGTTCCTATTCCAGGAAAAGATCTACACCTTCATAGTACTAGACCGTTTGCTGTGGTTCATAATATTAACTGATTGTTCATTAAATATATTTTATTGCATGTTTTTAGTTACTTGTAGAATTTTATAAAAATATTTGCTCATCACAATTATACTTGCTTGCTTGTTTGTTTTTTTGAGACAGGCTTTTTCTGTTTAGTTCAGGCTGGCCTTGAACTTACTATGTAGCCCAGGCTGGGTTCCAACTTCAATCAGCCCTCCTGCCTCAGCCTTCTGGATGCTGGGATTACAGGAGGGTGCCACCACGCCTGATTTACAATAATAACTGCCAAAATTTGCATTGTCTAGCAAATGTCAGAGAGCAGATCAGTGTGTTTTCATTTAAAAAGCTAGCCAATTGAAAATTTGTAGTTTGAAACCTGCTGTGGTACTGCACACCTATAATTCCAGCACTCAGGTTGAGGCAGGAGGATTGTGAAATTGAGGCCACCTTGTGCTACATAGTAAGTTCAAAACAAGCCTGAACTACATAGCATGACCCTGTCTCAAAAGTCAAAAACAAAGAAGGTTTATAGTTTAAGAGAAGGCCAGTTTCCCGTTTATTAGAGTGTGTAAGGGGCCGGGGATTTAGCTCAGTGGTACTATGCCTGCCTTGCAAGCATAAGGTCCTGAGTTCTATCCCTGCTACTGGAAAAAAAATAAAATAAATAGAATTTGTACCTTGAATATTAATAGATACACTTTTTTTTAATAACAGTTAACATTTTGTGTGAGAACCATGAACAACCTTTAGAAGATATCAGGTGGTATTTGATAATTTTATAACAAGGTAGAATCATGAATTTAGTACAAATGTATAGAATGTTATAGTTGTTGCTAAGCACAATAGATGTGGCTGCTGCCATATATATTGTTAGTGGCCCAAATACTTTATTCTGGTTTTCTGAGAATTTCATCACCAGAATATCTATCATGTTTCTAAAGGTCCATCCAAATATCTTGTTAAGCGGGCTGGGGATGTAGCTTAGTGGCACCATACCTGCCTGGCAAACACAAGGTCTTGAGTTCTGTTCCTAGTACTGGAAAAAAAATAAAATCTTGCTAAGCAGATGCGGATTTTAATGCCATTATATTTTTCTTTTTATTAGGGGGAAAAGGGGGCGTTGCTAGGGATTGAACCCAGGGCCCGGAGCCTGCTAAACATGTAATGTGCCACTGAGCTATATGCCCAGTTTCTGTAAAAGCATTCAGTAAGCAGAAATGAAATGACCTACACAAATTCCTGTGGTGCCTGTTGGGAAATCTAGAATACACTGTAATGTAGACTTTTGCCTTCAAGGGAACTTGTTGCTGCTTCATCATTAATGGCCACTATAATCTTTTCTGGAAAAAACAAAACACAGAACCCTATTGGGAAGGCTGGTATAGCTCAGTGGTAGAGCTTGTGTCTAGCTAGCATACTTGAGGCCCTGGGTGAAATCCTCAGCACTACAAAACAAAACATACTGAGATGGAAAGATAATGGGGGACAGTAATAATGGCTTCTTGGTTTAGTGGTTGGCATGTAGCACTCTTTGTTTTTTGAGACAGAGTCTTGCTATGTAGTTCAGGCTAACCTCAAACTCACAGTCGTCCTCCTGCCTCAGCCTCCCTAGTGCTGGGATTACTGGTATGCACAACCACGCCTGGCTGAGTTTTAAGAAGGTCTCACTATATAGTCCAGGCTGGCCTCTAGTGACCTGCAAATTTTTTTGGCCTCAGCTTCCCAAGTCCTGGGATTTCAGGCATGCACCACTGCGCTGGGCTCTGTTATTTTTAAAGACAGAATCTTGCTAAATTGCCCATGCAAGACTTGAACTTACAGTCCTGCTTTAGCTTCTTTCATTGCTGGGATTACGGGCATGTGCCACTGTAGTCAGCTTTCTTTGTTTTTTTTTTTGGAGAGTCTCAACTCATTACCCGTTTCAGATGTATGCCTGACTAAGGCATTAAGTCATTGTAGTTTTGTTGTTGTTGCAGTACCTGGGGATTGAGCCCAGAGCCTTCACACCAAGCTATATTCCACCCTTTATTAATTTGTTGAGACAGGGTCTCACAGTGTTGCCAAATTGCCCAGGCTGTGCTTGAACTCGAGATCCTCCTACCTCAGCCTGCCAGAATGCTGGAATTACTAGTGTATGCCACCATGCTCGGCATCACTGCAGTTTTACTGAATAGTAACAAAGGACTTGAGATACCCCTTTACTGGTAGGAAGACTTAAATCTTAGAGACATTAAATATTTATCCAGGACCCATATACCCAGCAAGTGATATCATGAGCGTCTTGAACTCATACCTTGTCTCACTCCAGTGCTCTTAACTGCCACCTTTTATTCCACTAGAGCATTCTTTTTTATAATGGGGTCTAATCAGGTATTGTGGTGCCCATCTGTAATCCTAGTACTCTTGAGAGGCTGAGGCAGGAGGACAGCAAGTTCGAGCTCAGCATAGGTACAGGATAGTGACTTAGACCCTATCTCAAAAGAAAAAATAATATAGCTGGCGATATAGCTCATTGTGGAGGCTCTGGGTTCAATGCCCAATACTGGGGATAGTGGTGTGTGTATGTGTGTGTGTGTGATATATATATCCTACATAACATATAATGGGGAAGTGGCCAGAAAAATTAATGTATTTCCTTTTTAAAATCCATGGCCAGGTGTCAGGGATCTAGCTCAGTGGTTCCACCACCTGCCTTACAAGCGCAAGGACCTGAGTTTGATCCCTGCTACCCCCCCAAAAAATTAATAAATAAAATCAAATCCATGGCCATTGTGTTGTGATAACCTAGGAATTTTGAAGAAGTTTTAGGACTAGAGTTAAATGAAAAAAATAAGTCTTGGGGCCAAGGATTTAGCTCAGTGGTTCCAGCGCCTGCCTCTCAAGCACAAGGTCCCAAGTACGATCCCCGGTACCAAAAAAAAAAAAAAGTCTTTTATGTTTTTAGTTTGCTCTATCATTTGTCTTTCTCATTCTACATTCTGTTAGGTGTTTATTTCCATATGGGTTTGGCATGTTTTTATTTATTTTTTTTGGTACTGGGGATTGGACTTGGGACTTTTGCGCTTGCAAGGCAAGCAGCAGAACCACTGACCTAAATCCCTGGCCCTGGCATGTTTTTAAATACAGAATCTGATCACTTTGTCTTTAATCTGCCTTGTGTTTGTGACTTCCAAGAAGCTGGTTTGTGATTTATTGTCTTATCATTTCTTGCTTTATTCTTGGACTAGCTTTTCTTGGGATAAGTCCCAGTCGCTGCCTGATAGCTACATGTGATCTACTAATACCTAATTCCTTTGAGTATTTTTTTTTTTCTTCAACTTAGTCCTGGCCTACTTAGACCTGACTAGCCATATTTGAAATTGTGTGCATCTTGATTTTTATTTTACTTTTTGCTGT